GTGTGTGTGGGTAATAGTTTTTTGCCAATCTAATGTCTTTGTCCCAATGGTTCTGTGTCCCGTTTCAATTGCCCTGAGATACTGTATTAAGTGAGTGAGGAGATCCGATGTTCCAGGATGTAAAATGGCCGCGGTAATTTTTCCCCGCCTTGGTTGGTATTTAAGGGGAATGAGGAGTCACGTCTGTATCCCTGTTGAAAAAGTCGGATGTGACGAAACGCGTCCGGGGCACGTGACGTGGTGACGTAGGTACGCTCTTCCGGAAGTGCGGCGACGCATCTTTGATCCTGGTACATGCGGATGTGTTTACTGCAATCCTCATGGGGTTTTGAGGGACTGGGAACCCACGGCAATCATTCCTCCCTCGGTGAGATAGTGTGGCAATCTATACACTGGCGATGAGAGGAAGGATTGGGAACATACCGTTTGTGAAGCTGATGTTATCTTACTTGAATGTAAGTTGCTACAATAAAGTGTTATAAGTATTTTTTACATATACTGATCCATGGTCTGTTATTGAGGTCTGTGGGAAGTGGCTGGAAAGGCTGAAAGAATATCCTTAAAGTGGAAGGCAATACTCAGACCCTTGATATCATTGTGAGGGTAACTATGAACTCTCGTTGGTGGTATGCAGTGGATTGACTCCTAAGGCTGAGGGCTATCCCCGTTTTTTCACGGTTATGGTGGCACAGTTATTTTTATGTGCATGAAACACGTGTGGCACAGTTGTTTAGATAATTCTGTTTTTGAAGATATCACACATGTTGAGTTTTTCTTTCTTGAGGTATATGAAGATCGGGTTTAAAGTATATCACTAAGAATGTCGGAAGATATGAAGAATTAAGATATCACAGATAAAGATTTTTTGGGACTCCTTTTTTGTGGACTCTTTTTGTGTTTTTTTTTTTTTTTTTTTGGGTGTTTGGGATTGTGATTTTTATATTTTATTTATTTATTTATTTTTTTTCTTTTCATTGTTTATTTTAATTATTTACTACTTCTGGGTGATTATTTTAAGTTATTGGGGTTTGTTTTTATATTCACACTATATTGTGATTAGATGGTAATCAAGTTTACTTAATTTATGAATGCATGGCATTGCACGGAACACAGTTCAACATTGCACTTCAAGCACACCTGTGTTGCAGGACACTGCAAAGCACAACAATGTACTGACATGCAGTGGTACGCCACAATAACAAAAATAGTGCAAGTTCAATTTTAGGTCCTTCGTGGTGCATTAGCAACCCATTCAATTAAATAGGCTCCTGTAACGTAAAGTGCGTTAACATGCGACATAGCGCTGATTCATACCTATATGTTAAGGCACTGCAATGGAACATCCAGGTGTGAGGGGGACCTATATTTTTTTATTTATGAATACATAGCTGTATAAACCTGATATAGCCTGAGTGTGATAAAGATATTTTTCTAAATCTTTTATGGTAAATGGAGTACTTTTCAATGTCAGATGGGCAATTTAATTGTAGAGATCTTTTTTTTTTATAAAGCTGTTTCTTGCTAAGGGAATCATAGCTATTTTCTGTGCAATCACTAATTTACTAATTTCACAGTGATTTGTAGCTCAGTCGCCCAGTTATTGAGTTTGCAAAGTCTTCATGTCAGTAACAAGATCGCCATTGAGAAGCACTTTCTAACTGCAGCAGAACTGTGCGCAAGATCATAAGCCGGGCTCCATTCCTCAAGACGTTATGCTATGCCACTCCATGCTATGGGTGAATACACAATGGGCACTTTGGTGTGTTCTGCATTTTGGTGCTGGGGCCAGAACTGGCAACCAAGGATGCAAGCCATTGGTATAATAGATAAATATTTTGCGCTGGAGGAGAAAATGGGTTTGCTTAATAGTCCAAAGTGCATTAATAAAGTCCAACTTGTAAGTGGAAAAGGAGGGGGAAGGGAGTGGGAAAACTATTTGCCTTTCACATTCCAACCTCCTGGCTTTAAGAAACACTTAAAAAAGAAAAAAGAAAGAAAACTGTAGTCACTTGCAACTGTTTTTGAAGATCAAGCAGAGGAAAACAATATGGAATCACTCAATACTGAGGAAAATATTATGGAATCATGAAAAAAAATACTAAAGTACACCACTAGTACTTTGTTGCACCACCTCTGGCTTTTATAAGATCTTGAATTCTCCGAAGCATGGATGTAACTATCAACAAACAGTATTCTTCATCAATCTGGCTCCAACATTCTCTTATTGCAGTTGCCAGATCAGCTTTGCAGGTTGGAGCCTTGTCAAGGACCATTTTCTTTCATTTCCACCATAGATTTTCAGTTGGATTGAGGTCCAGACTATTTGCCGGCCATGCCATTGACATAATGGGGTTTATTTACTAAAGCTGGAGAGTCCAAAATCAGACTCCCTTCTGCATAGAAACCAATCAGCTTCTAACCTCAGCTTGTTCAATGAAGCTTTGGCAATGAAACCTGGAAGCTGATTGGTTTCTATGCAGAAGTGAGTCTGATTTTGCACTCTCCAGCTTTAGTAAATAAACCCCAATAGGTCTTTCTGGAAGGAAGGTTTTCACGGCTTTTGCCTTATGACAAGATGCATTATAATCCTGAAAAATGATGTCATCATCACCAAACATCCTTTCAATTAATGGAACACGAAAAGTGTCCAAACTCTCAATATAAACTTGTGCATTTATTAAAGATTTAATTAATGTCATCTCCCCCATATCCTTACCTGACATACAACCCCATATCATCAATGATTGTTGAAATTTGCATGTTTTATTCAGGCAGTTATCTTTATACATTTCATTGGAATGGCATCAAACAAAAGTTCCAGCATCATCACCTGCCCAATGCAGATTCGTGATTCATCACTAAACATCACTTTAATCCAGTCATCCACAGTCCATGATTTCTTTTCTTTAGCCCACTGTAACCTTGTTTTTCTGTTTAGGTGTTAATGATGGTTTTCGTTTGGCTTTTCTGTATGTAAATCTCATTTCCTTTAGGCGATGTCTTACAGTTCGGTCACAGACATTGACTCCGGTTTCTGCCCATTTGTTCCTCATTTGTTGTGTTGTGCATTTTCTGTTTTCAAGGCATATTGCTTTAGGTTTTCTATCTTGACGCTTAGATGTCTTCCTTGGTCTACCAGTACTCTTCCCTTTTACAACCTTCCCATTTGATTAGTACTTGGTCCAGATCTTAGACACAGCTGACTGGGAACAAGCAACATCTTTTGCAACATTCCGTGATGATTTACTTTCTGGAAGTTTTATAATCCTCTCCTTTGTTTCAACTGACATCTCTGGTGTTGGAGCCATGATTCATGTCAATCATTTTGGTGCAACAGCTCACCAAGGTGTGCAAGCACTCTTTATTAACTGCAGACTAATTAGCAGATGTAATCTGATGTAGATGTTTATTTTAGAACTGCAAAGTACATGGTGATTCCAGAATATTGTCCTCAAAATTGAGTGATTCCATATTTTTTTTCCTCTGCTTGATCTGCAAAAACAGTTGCAACTGACTGCAGTTTTCTTTTTTCAAGTGTGTCTTAAAGGCAGAAGGTTGGAATGTTAAATGAAAATAGTTTTGAGGCATGTCTGTGATTAGTTTTTTTCTACACAATTAAACAATTGAATGCACATTTTCCAAGAGTGGTGATTCCATACTTTTTGCCAGGGTTTGTATCAGGAATATGAATTGTTGGGTTTATATATTCTTTAATTCAGAAAAGTACCGTCTATCAGGGGCGTCCGCAGGGTTGGTGTCACCCGGTGCAATAACATTTGGTGACACTCCCTCCGACGATCCCCGCAGAATGGATCGGACCCCTATCCATTATGCTCAATCCACAGATCCAATCCATCCTGCGGGGATCGTTGGCTTGCTTTACAACTTACCTTTTTGTGGAGCAGGTCCGGTGTCACCCCATATGGGTTGCATGCTGACGATCCCCACAGGATGGATCGGATCTGTGGATTGAGCATAATGGATCGAAGTCTGATCCATTATGCTCCCCAATCCGCAGATCTGATCCATCCTGCGGGGATCGTCGGCTTGCTTTACAACTTACCTTTTCGTGGAGTCGGTCCGGTGTCACCCACCCCGTGCAGTAGGTGTCACCCGGTGCGGCATGCCCCCCCCCCCCCCCCGCACCTGCCTAGTAGGGACGCCCCTGCCTTCTACTGCTCTAAGCCTCCTCCCAACTCCAAATTCCTTATTTATGCTGCTGTGATCCAGCTTCCTGATAGAGGGTGGCTATGTTAGTTTTTTGTGTTCCCGCTGTATGTAGAAACAGAGTCACCCCTTTGTGCACATTCTGAGGAGGACTAGATGTAGGATGTGTAGTATGTAACTAATGCGCACTGAGTTGAGTTTACAGTCATTTTTTTTTAGAACGCACCAAACTTGTATTCAGGAGTAGATTTTACCAGCGTTGCAAACGCCAACCGCTTGTAAACGCATGTAAACGTGGTTAACCTCCCTAGTGGTCTGATTATGTCAGTATTTTTGTGCTCAAAGCGGTACATTTTTTGCATGGAAATATGTAGTTTTTTTTTTATTGTAGGCCTGTAATTTTTAGGAATAACTCAATGAAATCTGTCCGAACAAGAGTCTAGTAAACATCCCCGGTATGTAAAATTTGAAACACGAAATCATAAATTATAATTGAATAAATAATCATAAAAAATAATAATATAATAATAAATTAAATTCAATAATATAATCAAACCAAAAACACTGAAATATGAAATATAGCGCCAAGTTCGCACATCACTGAGCAAAGTCGCAAAATCGTTTTCAGTGTCTGATGATGACGAATTTCCCCACAAATCATTATCACTCAATTCTGCAAGTGGTTCTAATTTACTATCGCTGTTCTCTAGCTGGTCTAAAACCACTTTTGACCTAAAGGGACGCTTTTTGGACGCCATGGACATTTCTCAGTTTCCAGGCAATAAGAACTGTAAAAATGCAGGCAGGGCACAGGACAAAGCACTCGGGACAAAATGTATGTGAAATGGTTTGATACAGTAATGTTTATACTACGCGATTTTAGTGTATTTAGTGAATGTCACTTTTTGTCATTTTCAAATTTCCCGCCGTTCTGTCCCCCGTACGTCCTGACGCTCACAGGGGACGGAACCTAGAAGACAGATGCCGGCATCCGCCGGAGGACATTGCCGGAGACACTGCAGGAAGTACATCACGGGAGCGCAGGACAAGGTAAGAGAAGAAAAGATCCTGGAGCAGCGCCGCATGGTATTCCCGAGTGTAGCTCGGGATTACTGCTTGTGGTACTGAAACTTTACCCCGAGCTACACTCGGGAATACAGCCAGGGAGGCTACCTGTGTTTCTAAGCATTTGTGTTTAGAAGCATGTTTTAACTGTTCCATATCCAGATGCTGTCCAGAGTCTTTTTTCATCATCAGAAATGCATGCAAAGTGTTTTCCATGTCTTCGAATTGACCCGGTACACCAGCGCAGTCAGTTCCAGGTTTTGTGTAAAGGAAGAAATGGTAGAACACGCTGCATTATGCTCATGATGGGATAGTAAATACAAGCAGAAAAGACAGGTCATCTCAACACATACTGCTCTCTCTGCTTTTGCTCTCTCTATTTCTCTCAAAATGTCTGTGTGTAGAGAAACACACAACAAAACACTCCGCTGTGAATGGGGGATAAAGATGTGGAATTAGAACAAAACAGTGGAGGAATATAGGAACAGGACAAACTGTTGGCACAGTAAAAGTCCTGTGTAATAATACTAACACTACTACTATTACTACTACTACTAATAATAAATAACAATAGGAAACAGAATCAGAAAAATGTATTATCATTTTCATTCCAATAAATATCATACATTGAAATAATAATAACAATAATAGTAAAATATTAATAATAATAATAACAAGAGATAAAACCTATATAAATTCTGTATAATAACAATAATAGAATGAGGAAAATGTATTATTATTTTACATAAATCATAAAATGAAATAAATTATAATAATAGTAAAATAATAATAATAACAGGAGATAAAACCTATATAACTCCTATATAATAATAATAGAATCAGAAAAATATATTATTATTTTACATAAATCATAAAATGAAATAAATAATAATAATAATAATGATAATAACATAAATAGTAAATTATTATTATTATTATTATTATAATAATAATAATAATAATAATAACTGGAAATAAAACCTATATAAAGTCTGTATAATAATAATAATAATAATAAAAAATCAGAAAAATATATTATATTACATAAATCATAAAATGTCATAAATAATAATAACAATAATAGTAAAATATTAATAATAATACCTGTAGATAAAACCTATATAAATCCTGTATAATAATAATAATAATAATACTAACAATAATAATAATAATAATATAAAATCAGAAAAATATATTATTATTTTACATAAATCATAAAATGTAATAAATAATAACAATAATAATAAAATATTAATAATAACAGGAGATAAAACCTATATAAATCCTGTATAATAATAATAGAAACAGAAAAATATATTATTATTTTATTATATCATACAATGAAATAAATAATAACAAAAATAGTAAAATAATAATTATAACATGAGATAACACCTATATAAATCTTGTATTATAATAATAATAATAATACAAATATATTAATATTTTACATAAATCATACAATGAAATAAATATTAATAATAACAATAATACTAAAATATTAATTAAAAAAAGAAGATAAAACCTATATAAATCATGTATAATAATAATAATAATAATAGAATAAAAAAAATATATTATTTCACAAAAATCATAAAATGAAATAATAATAATAATAATAATAGCAGGGGATAAAAGCCTCCCCCTGGGGGATCCCTGTGATTGGTCTGTAAACTTTCCTGTATACAGGACCTCCAGCTGGGCTCCAACGATGCTGTGTGCGCTCAGGCTCCCTCACCTGGTGTTACTGCGCATGCGCGCCGCTCAACTCCAGCCCCAGCTCTCTCATTGCGATCAGGGGAGAGAGGGAAAGAGCCGGAGCCGAGGAGGATCGCGATCTGTCGGAGGAGCCTCCACACTGAGAACTGCTGCAGCCACCGCTCACCTCCCCGACCCGACCCCGGCCAGCAAAGGTAAGAGGAGCCCTCCCCGCCCCAGCCTTCACCCTTCTCTCTGAGCAAGTTGGACGATCCGGTCCATGGCACCGGGGACACCAACTCCTGAGCTGTCCCTGCAGCAGATGGGAGCTCAGTCCGGGGGATTTAATTGTCACATGTCACTGAGTGTCACCGTCTTCGGAGAAAAGTACTAGGTGGGATCTGTCACATATCTCCCGGGGTGTGCTCCCAGCCTAGTCCATGGGGCTGTTCTATGGGCAGAGGATGGTGTGTAGTGCCTGGTGCCAGGACTTGGGTACTGTACATGGGGCACCAATGAGATCACTGTACACCCTGTCCTGGGGGCAATGCATCTGATGGCTCCCTTCACTCTTCTGAATAAGAAAGTTTGTTGCATGTGTAAAGAAATATTTACAAATATATAAACTATTACAAAGTAACGATTGCAAACGTTCCAAACCTGCATTTACACTTGTGTAACGTAATCACACCTAAATCATTATTCTTCTATACATTGCAAGGCCTGTTCGCATGAGTGAGCCATGTAAATGTGCGCATTATCGCATCGCAAGCTACTTGTGCTGTTTGCAATGATGTGATGCGCTGCCATCCATTTTGAATGTCACCCCAATGAGCCCCTGTTCACATTAGTGCAATTTCTGATGCAGCTGCTATCGTGCAGCACTGCATGATAAAATAAATCGCATTATTTTCAATGGTGCCCATTCACAGCAATACAGTGCAGCTGCAGCGCGTGTTTGGAAAGGGCACCGTATGCTGCTATGTGTTGGTGCAGAGTGATTTTGACCTAATGGAAATATACCAAAAATGGATAAAAAAAAACACATGTACATGCGTATTTAGTGAGTTTTGTGTATAAAATCTAGTCCCCTTCTACAAAAAATGCATAAAGCATGAAAAACATGTAAAAAAAAAGTGTGATGTCACACTACAAAATCACAGATCATCCTGCAGCTGCACTGATATGAAACTAGGCTTAGCTTTAATGGCACCCCAAGGCCCAGTTTTGATGGCACCCCAAGGCTCAGCTTTGATGGCACACCAAGGCTTAGTTTTAATGGCACCCCAAGGCTTAGCTTTAATGGCACCCCAAGGCTTAGTTTTCATGGCACCCCAAGGCTTAGCTTTGACGGCACCCCAAGGCTTAGCTTTGATGGCACCCCAAGGCTTACCTTTGATGGCACCCCAAGGCTTAGCATTAATGGCACCCCACGGCTTAGCTTTAATAGCACCCCAAGGCTTAGTTTTTATGGCACCCCCACGACTTAGTTTTAATGGCATCCCAAGGCTTAGGTTTGATGGCACCCCAAGGCTTAGCTTTGATGGCACCCCAAGGCTTAGTTTTAATAGCACCCCAAGGCTTATCTTTAATGGCACCCCAAGGCTTAGTTTTAATGGTACCCCAAGGCTTAGCTTTAATGGCACCCCAAGGCTTAGCTTTAACGGCACCCCAAGGCTTAGCTTTAACGGCACCCCAAGGCTTAGATTAACAGCAGCCCAAGGCTTAGTTTTAACGGCACCCCAAGGCTTAGCTTTAACGGCACCCCAAGGCTCAGTTTTAATGGCACCCCAAGGCTGAGCTTTAATGGCACCCCAAGGCTGAGCTTTAATGGCACCCCAAGGCTGAGCTTTAATGGCACCCCAAGGCTTAGCTTTAATGGCACCCCAAGGCTTAGCTTTAATGGCACCCCAAGGCTTAGCTTTAATGGCACCTCAAAAGCAGCAAGCTAGTTTGTGCTTGAAAATTGCACGGTTTAGACATTGAAACACTCAAAAATATACTTGAGCTTCTTTGTTGCATGTAAGACAGGCGGTTGTAATGAATGCTCAAAGTGCGACAATGTGCAAAAAACACATAGGCGAGACATCTGATGTTGCACTAAATAGTATAATTGGTGACTAATGTTACAGCATTAAAATGTGTATTTATTCTGCATGTCAAGAACAGCCCAGCCTACGGTCACCCTAATACATGCCTTCCAATGACCCAGACATCCTCTCCGGTATAGTATACCAGCAGATCTCTGCTTGCTGAACCACTAAACTGATACTCTATGGGGATCCCTTGTATTATTTTCTGTCTCGACGTCAGAGCTTGAAATCTTGCCCCTCTCAGAAACAGTACAATCCCTAGCCTGCCTTGACATGCTGCGACTTGTAGTTCCACACCAGTTACAGCAGCACAGCTTACACAGTACACCCCATAATCAAGAGACATGCACTCTCCCCGTATAACAAACAGAAAAATATCTGTTTGTGTCTTTTAAATATTAATCCCGATCTAAGTTGAATGATTTTGTGTAAAGCTTGAGTCCGCTATGGTTGGTAAGGATGGATGGACGGTTGGATTGCATGTTGGGGAAGAGATCTATTTTCATGTCAAGCCTCATATTTATTGGATGAGGGAGTAGCAGGAGTGTCTCAGGTAATTAGGTATACAGTGTGACATATCTCTTGACCAAGGTGTGTGCAGAATCATTTAATTTTAATAGCTTGGTATGCTGCCCTGTAGACGAAGAGGAAGGACATTGAGTTCTCCATTGGAATGTAGTGTGTTAAGCGCACTTTGATGAAGCCTGCTGTGCTGTGTAACCTTTCAAATATTGAGACTGATGTTACACATTTAGCAACTAAGTCTGAAATTAGATTGCTGGAGCTGTGTGTGATCTAGATTCAAAGTGAGACATTTGCAGTGTGCTTGGGGCTTCTGGGTTTTTGAACTGTACAAATGCTGTGGCAATCGCTGCGCCTTAATTCTGCGCTATTTGAAGTTTCAGTCTCTTTAGGTGATGATTAGGAGTTTGTGTGCATGGGGCGGTGTGATGGCAGCAACGTATTCCTTTATATCAACAGCAGGGCCAAGAACAAGCACTCGAGTCAAGGGCATTGGGAGGAAATCAAGGGGAGATTGCTAAATAGGAATATCAGATTGTGAAGGATATTTCAGACAGTGAAAAATAAAGGTCTGTCTAAATCAAGTAGAATGTTTCCCTATGAATGTCTATTGCGGGTATTTTATGTGAAAAAGAAGTAGAATTAAATCACAGATATTAAAACATTTAATATCTTCATAAATAAAATTTTCCATCAGAACGGAAATACTATTTATTTTTATCTAATACAACATGTTAGGGCTGATTTACATCTATGTGTTGCAGCATCATGCCAGTTACTGCAACGCACCTTACC